TCACTAGACGGAGGCCTCATCATGATCTCCTTCCCAAGACCTACAAAAGAAGAGGAATAAGCAAGTTCGAAAAATACTCAAATAGTGGTCAGATCATTAATTCAAGGAGAAAACTTACCATAGCTACTAGCCTCCCATCGACGCCTCACCAAATTGCGCCATACGCGCTCAGCGTGTGTCGATTGCAATATCAGGCTCCTGACCTAGTCCTTGAGTTGGAAAACCTCAACCAGCATACAATAAAACGCTGATAAGAAAGGGTGAAAAAACGAAGACAATAAATAGAAATTATGGACGGAATCATACTTATGCTTCATATTCCATTTCTCAGGAAATGGCATACTTTCGACTGGGATCAAGTCCGAGGTCTTCACTCGAACAAATCGGCCCATCCAGCCCCAGTCTTTGTCCTCATCTATGCTCTAGAAAGGTGCCCTGGTGGCTCGACATTGAAGCTTTATTAGTCCCCCTCGATAGAGTCGGGGGCTATATAGGCGTATAAAGTGGTCGAGGGTGAAGGGAAGCCCATCAACTTTGCTCGAGAAGAAATAGAGTAATATCACAATTCTCCAGAAGGAGAGATGAATCTAACCGAGGGTCATCTTGTATTTATTGCAGAAATCTATGATGATCGGATCTAAGGGACCCAGCGTGAAAGGGTAAGTGTAAACACTTAAGAACCCTTCCACTTGAGTGGTGATTGCCTCTTCTGGAGCAGGCACCACCACATGTTTTTTACCCAGTTGCAATCTTTTTTAACCTGGGAGAGGAGTTTTCGGTTATCGAGCATATATACCTCGATATCGACTCGCTTCGCCCGGCACTGAGGAAGTCTTTTCAACCTTGAAATCAGAATCGAGAACACACCCTCCGGGAAATAACTCTTCAGGGCGTGGCTCCATCGCCGGTTCCTCGCCGGCCGACCGTGATGATGAAGTCGTTTCCTTTTGTGGAACAGTTTTAGATATTTTGGCCATTTTGTTTTTGTAAACACAGAAGAATAAAGATTGGGATATTTAGTTTTTTGGAAAGAACGAGCAAAGAAACACCAATGATCTGAAAGTTCAGAGCTTTTAGGGAGGCAAAGGATTTGGGAGGAGAAGATCTGAAAGTAAAGTTTGGGCAAAAGAAGGAAGATACATTTATAGGTTGAAGACTACGGTTCAGAACCGGTAGTTGCCGACAACAACTGACAGGCATTTAATACCTCGACATCCGAATCGACGAGATATTTTAGTGCCCACTTGTCACTGACGTCATGATCGAGCTCATCACTTATGTCATGGCCCATCGAGATGGAATTGGAAAAGATCATATCGTTTCTCGTCACCTTCTCTCTGAGAAATAAAGAGATTATCTATATACGGTCAAAATTGGTCCTGACCTCGAACGAGGTAGGACAAGGTTCGACCCTATGTCACATCGGATCACAGTGCAAAGTTAGACCACCGTGCTCGAGACTAGGAGGCCGATCGAGATCGAAGTTAGCTAAGATCGGAGCTCGGTAGAATAGAGATCAGACAAGATTGGGGAAAGCGTACCATGCCAAATAACAGAAAGCCGAGATATCCGTGATCGAGCAAGGATCATGGCGGAAATCTCGGCACGTATCGAGTCGAGACCGTACATTTAGCCAATCATGAGATTTCCTTTTGTATTTAGAATTGTACCATAAGTAGAATTCATCTGCTATATAAAGAGGGTTCCAATCATTTTGTAATGATGACATTCACGCATAACAAAGCAATACATTACATTTCCTCTCTTAAGCTTTGTTGTTCAGTTCATACTTTTTAGCGTACTATGTTGGTTCGAGGGCGATCTAGCTCGAAGGCCATAACTGTTCATTATTTTGGTTTGCTTTATTTTACAGTTAATTTCTAACATTAATTTCCATATTTCTCAGCTTGTGCCAAGTAAAATCATATATCCTTAAAATCACTTATAAGTTTAATTGTTATCCAATTTTAAGGGTAAACAACTATTATGCTTATTGATTCCAAAAAGCTAAAAGAAACTAACGATATTCCCTCATTCAAAAGTGATAATTCATTTATTATTTAACATAGAAAATAAAAAGAAAGAGAAAATATAATAGAATTGCTTGATGCCAAATCTCTTTGTTCTCGTAAAGGTATGGCTGAAGTTGAGGAAAAAGAGGCCAAACATTCTTCCGTTAATTTATAATGTTAGTTTTGGGGGGGAAGAGGGAGAGAAAGTTTGAAAGATTAGAGTATAATACATTATTTTGTATAAAATTGGTAATTTGTATATGAACTTGTAATTAAGTTAAAACCTCAATAGTGAGAGTAAATAAGTTTCAAAATTAGTATAGATAAGTGAAAATCTCTTATCTGTCATATAACACTAATCTGTTTTCAAATTGTTAAACTGATAACCCAATATTTATAAATCACAAACACTTGTTTTTGGTTCAGGATATCGGTTACACCCGAATTCGCACACCTTATCACTTCGGCTCATACTTGGTCGGCTTATTGTTCCATGTGAGAAAACTAGGAAACTCAGGTTGTTTCTGCAATCTTTCCCTGTATAAAAGTTGGGAAGGATATGGTTAATGTTAGAGGTGTACAAGGAAAACCGACAAATCATACCAAACTTATAATTCAAGTCAAACAGGGAAAAAAAAATAAGATTAGTGTTCCGATTTGATTTGGTCTAGTATTTCGACCACAATTGGTTTGGTTTGATTTTAATTAAAAAGGCAAATCAAAACCAAACCAAAGCAACCCGACATACATATATATAATTCTAAAAATATTTATTGTAATGCAGTTTATAAATATTTCTTAAGGGTCCATTTCGAAAGCCATGTGTAATTATGAGGGTAATAATTACACACCCTGATTTACATAGTATAGCAATTACAATAACATATTTGTTTGAAAGAATGTAATTACAGTGTAATTCTCACTGTCATATTTCGTTGGACAAGTGTAATTATATAGTTAAATAAGAAAATGATATTAACATGTCGAATATGTGTATCACACTGTGTATCACATATATATCATATTTGTATCAATTGTGTATCACATGTATATCCATGTATACATGTATATCCATGTATACATGTATGTGAGATACATGCATGATATATTTTTGATACATGTATCGCAGAAGAATTTTTTGAACTCGATTTAATTACGAATTTTGATACAAAACCAGTCCAAATCATCTCCAATCTTTCCTCAAATTTTGTGTATTGACTTATCTATATATTTTCAATGAATTTCAACTATACGCATTGAAAAAGTTCCTTTTTTTTTTGCTTAGATTTTTGGAATATTGTCTTCTTCTCTTTTTTTTTTTTGTATTTCATCACCTTATTTTCTACCTCATCTATGAAATTTCCTTCCCGTCGTGCATCTAATGTTGCTAATCACGCTTAAAAATATGGAAGAAGATTTTTACATGTGATTCTTTGAGAGAAAGAACCTTATTTATTTGGTTTTTCAATTTTTATATGTGCTTGACTAGTTTTGGTAAATTTATGGCTAATGGATAGAGTGTTGGTAAGTTGAGACTTATTTGGAACATTTGTGTAAGTTTCCCTTTCAAATTTGGGACGAGCTATATATCTTAAACTTTTTATTTTATATCTTACACTTAGATTATATGAAAGTAAAAAATTCGCCAATTAAAAATCCGTAATCTATTTATCTATATTAACATATCTTACACTTTTATTTTATAACTTAAGTACAATTTTTAATATAATATTAATGCGATTTTATTTCTTAAAAGAATCATTGTGACAGAATACACGCGTAACGCGTGTACACTGAAACTAGAATTATTAATAGTACTAAAGCATTACATCTGGAGTACGTAGTACATCAACACTTGACCTAGATGAGCTAACTACATTACTGGGGATAGTGAGATTAGATTAGCATTAAAAAATGTACATGGGTTTCCAAGTTCGTGCTAGACTATTGTGAACAGTACTAGGAATACTTCTTATGTAGGTAGTGCTATAAATTTTAGGTACGCATGGTAACTAGCGGTGTCTGGATGTGGTTGGAGAGATTGTTGGAATATTGTTTTTTTTTATTGAGTCATATGTGCCATAAGGCAAAAGGGAGGAATATGGACCATGAGGTCATTATGTTAGTGTTATATAAACATGGGAGCTAGTGGTCATTGTCATATTGTGCACATTAAATCTGATGTCCATCCAGAAGTGAGTAGCGATAGGACATAGGAGAAATATTCCTCTCCTTGGTTACATATGGGGCGACTGAGTACTAACCTTACTTATTTTAGCATGATGACTTTGTACTTTTAAATTATGATAATTTTCATTATGGCTTACTAATTAACAATATTTATTTTATGCAATTTCGTAATTTTTCTTGTCGAATATTGTAGTATAGCGCCATGACTCATCTTATATTTTGTGTTATTTTCTTAAAAAACATCTTATATAGTTGTATCTTACAAAGATTAAAGATATATTTGAAGCACAAGTTATATATTTTTGTGCTATAAATAGTTTACTCAAAAAAACCCCAACTTATATACGCCCCAAGAAAAGATGAAAACCCGACAATTAATTTGGTTTGATAATTGAAAATTCCGAATTAAGTTAGACCTATGTACGCCCTTAGTTAATGCCTCACCTTCAAAAGTATAATCTTACGTTTGGAAATCTAAAGGAGGGCCGCATAAGTTGAGCAGCCATGCTAGCTCCTAAATCGCAGTGCCCTGATCATCGAGATATTTGTATTTCCCTACAGATTGCTGCTCCTTATATTTTTGTGTTCACATGATAATTGCACGAAAATTGTTGTAAAACAAATGCGATTGGGTTTTGATCAGTCATCACGGCAGGTTTCCCTACAGATTGCTGTTCCTCATCAACAAATAACTCACAAGCAGCAGAACTGACACTTCAATCAGTCATCACGGCCGGTTTGATCATCTCAATCAGAATTATCTATGCCCTACTAAGTGTGCTCATACACACAAGACACTGAAAATGTAAAGGATGAGTTTTAGCCAGAAATCCGACAAATAGAACTTGAAGGTGAAATGTTTATCCAGCCTATGCAATTAGCAAAATTCAAAGCTACATATTTTAAAAGAATAAAATTACATGATCATTTGAAATATAGAGAAACTAGCTCTTGGGGATATTTTTGCCTACAATCTTGGCTGGAGCAATTCGCAAAAGATTTCCTGGCTTACCAGGAAGAGCTCCTTTGATCATTATAATGTTGAGTTGATCATCGATCTTCACAATCTTGAGCTTTCTTATCTTTCTCTTTGTGCCTCCCATTCTTCCAGGCATTTTCTTGCCCTTGTATACACGCCCGGGTGTTGTCCCAGCACCAATTGATCCAAGTTGTCTATGACTCTTTGATCCGTGAGTCATTTGACCCCTCTTGAAGTTATGCCTCTTTATACCACCTGGAAGCAGTATTCTCAACAATGAAAAACAGAATAACAAGATACGAGGATCCAACGGATTTATTTCCATCAACAGATAAGAGAACTCGCTTTCAGAAGTGTTAAAAAAGTAATCCAAATCTGAGATGAAGTTACTTTCTATACGTAGACAGCCACCAATAGAGAACCAAAGAACTGCATTTATTGACTTCAATACATGCAAGGTATGGATGTCTCTTTCAGATGATACTTCAAACAACTATTCAGGTTATCCGAAGAAGGTTAAGCTTGTATTTCGGGAAACTGTAAGACGTGAAAAGCTGATAATTCCTATCGACGCATTTACACATATGAAATGTACTGTGTGGTTATCATCCAGCATCAAGAAACTTATTTAAAGTGCTGGAGCCATGCCACGTGCAGAGGGGAGCTACTATAATGTAGCTTATGTAACAGGCATATCAAGTAGTTCTATGAATAGGTAAAAAACCATCATATTTGCATATGTTATGTAGTACTAATATATTGCATCTTAATAATTACAAACAAATACTATTCTGGTTTAAGGAGTGCATACATGAATTACAATGACATAACGAAATGCAATTTTAACAAATGCAAAACCAAAGACCGGGTACTTTTAGATGTACCGCACTACTAAAATCAAAGGATAGTTCTCTTTAGAATGACAACAACAACGCCTCAATCCCAAGCTACCCGGGGTTGACTATATGAATTTGGATTATCCATCTCAACCCATTATTCAAGAATTTAGACTCTCTAACAGTACAACTTTCTCTACTAAAAATTCACTTGTGACAGATCATATATTCTATATATCCAAGAGCTCACTGATAATCAGATACTAATCACAAAACATAAAATCTTAGGTCAATTGTAACTCTTAGTCTAGTTTATCCAAAATACCACTAAGCCTAGTACTTCAGAATACATAACAGTATGGACTTAAACAGGCATTGATAATTGGTTTACGGGTAAATTCTTCAGTACGTAACCTACTATTGCAACTACACTGATAGTGTAAAAGGTCTTAACACAATCTATATATAAAATTAAATTCATAAGTTAAAGTCTTTATCTAAATTTAGTTAAACAATGCAACTTCAAAAACACATTTTTCAGGAAAATTCAGCTTGTACACGAACAAACTGGGAATTCTAGTTTTAGACAAAAAATTCCCTCCGTTTCACCTTATGTGACGCAGTTTGGAGGTCAAGCTGACTAATTTTCCGAGTGTATTCGGACATAGAATTTTTAAAATGTTTTGAAATAAAATTTACATATTCAGAAACTACGGTTAGCAATTCAAAATATTTAAAAAGCATTTGCAAAAAAACAGTGTCAAAGAAAACTTCTTTTGACTCTCCAAATAGTAAATGTGCCACATAAAATGGAATAGAGTGAATAATTGAATTGAATTCCCAAATGAACTTTTACTTATCAAATTAATATATGTAGAAACACATTTATATACCTTGAAATCCTTTTCCAATAGTTGTACCAGAGACATCCACCAAATCACCCTCTTTAAAGAGCTCACCAAAATCAAGCTTCTGCGTAACCTCAAACCCATCAATAGACTGCAGCCTAAACTCCTGTAAATGGCGCAGAGGAATAATCCCAGACTTTTCAAGATGCCCCATTTCGGGTTTAGTCAGCTTTCTATCCCTAACACGTCGATACCCGACTTGTACAGCGTTGTATCCATCAGTAGCCTCAGTTTTAATCTGAGTAACAATATTGCCTTCCCGAAACCCAACAACTGTTACAGGCACAACTGTTCCTGATTCCTCGAAGAAGCTCATCATTCCGAGTTTTGTTGCCATTACGCCAACTCCGGCTTCGAGTGAGGCGGAGATTGAGGATTTTGAGATGTGGAGTGAAGTGGGTTTGTGGGTTTTGAGGGCGCGGAGTGGGAGACGGTGGAGGAATGGAGAGCGGAGGGTTAATGGGGTGGTTTTGAGGCGGAATTTGGCGGTGGGAATTGTGGAGAAAGAAGAGAGCGACATGGCTGATAGAGGGGAGAGGAGGAGGAGAAAGGGCTCTGTTTTTGGGTTTCCTTATCCAGTAGAAGATGGGGTAAGAGAGGATGATTTTGAGATTTATCATTGTTTCTTTGCATTTTGAAACTTTGTTTTTTTATTTGCACCTTCTACTTTTTCTTTTCTTTATCATTTTCCTTCTAATGTAGGTAACATGTTTTTATATTGATTTCACTCCAATTAGCTCTGGAAATGTATATTTATTTTGGATAAATGAACATAGTAAAATAAATATTTGTACGATATTTGCATCAAACTATATAAATTATCAAGATTATAATAACTAAATCAGGTACAAATATATATATATATATATATATTTGATTTCTTTATTCGGTAAAACATAGGGAAAGAAGAAATGAGTTTAGATGGTATGCTTTGGGAACACCAAGCACCATCTTTTATTTTTTTTGGCTAAAATATGGAGGAAGACATCATAGTTTTGAGCTTAAGAGCCCGTTTGGCCATTAAAAAAATTGTAAAAATTGTACGGGGTTGCCCCCATTTAATATATACCCATTTTTTTACAAATTTTTAATTTGTACCCACTTTTTAAACAACTTCAGCCCTCTTTCTCCTCCTCCTTCTTCTCCTCAAAGTTATATCCGCTCTCAATCTGATAGTTCCATTAAAAGAAATTCAAAGCTTTTCAGCTTTTTTCTTTGTCTTCTCCTGCAGCAGATTTGGTTGAGAGACTAATTGGATTGAGAAGGATTTTGAGTTTGGATGTTGTGCCTTAGTATCCACCTAAATATTAGACTTTTGTCAACGTCATGACGTTACGCTTTTACCATTAGACCAAAAACCTGAACCAAGAAAAAGTCCTTTATAGATTGACCATGACTCAGCTTAGACTGTTTATCACAAGTAAATCTTTTTATTCAGAATTTGCATTGTCGAGGATTAATCTTCATATAGCAAATATTTGATAATTTGGCTCTGCTCTTTATTTAGCAGTTTTGGCGGTCATTTATACAATAACAATTACTTAGAAGCAATATTCGGTACGGTTTGCTCCAGAAAATTTCAGATACAGACCCAACCAAACACTCCAAGCAATGGATAAAGGATTTAATTGAATAAAGTATAATATCTTCCATGTTACTATCTAACAAAACATATTGCATTTTCTAGAAAAAAATCTGCAACTTTTCCTGTTACTATCACATAAACTAAGTTCTAGCCACTGAATCTTGAGCTACAGGCTGAAGTTCAACTCTAAGAAGGCTGAAGTTCGCCAGTTACAAACAAAAACTTCAGCTCTAGAGCTAAAGTTCCCCAGTTATAAAACAAAAATTTCAGCTCTAGAGTTGAAGTTCCCCAGTTACAAATAAAAACTTCAGCTCTAGAGCTAAAGTTCCCCAGTTATAAAACAAAAACTGCAGCTCTAGAGCTGAAGTTCCCCAGTTACAAAAACAAAAACTTCAGGCCCGGGTACTAGAATGCTGAAGTTTTGCGTGTTGCCATTGGTACTTCAGCCCCGTATGCTGAAGTTATGCGAAAAAGCGGGTACGCTTGAAAATTTTTTTGCAAAGCGGGCACAAGTTAAAACGTGACACAAAAAGCGGGTATAGATGCAAATGCCCAAAAAAATTTACTTTTTTTGAATTTTTTTCACTTTTTCCCGAAATTAGTGTTTGGTCACAAATTTTTAAATTTTCACTTGAAGATGGATTTTGGAATTTTTTTCAAAAATTTGAAAATTTTCAAAAAGTTATTTTTTAAAACTTTCGCTCAGATCACTCATAAAACTTCAAAAACAAACCAAAATTATATTTATGTCCAAACCAACTCTAGTTTTCAAATACCATTTTCACTTGAAAAAAAAAATTTCACTGAAAATTTACAATTCTTATGTTCAAACGCCCACTAAGTGCTCGAGAAGCTTCTAACAGAGTAGAAGATGGTTTGAGAAAATAATCATCTTTAATGTTTAATTGATAGGCAAATGTATATATAGATAATCAGCTAAGAGTAATGAAGAAACTAATTGTAACTTCCTCTAATTATTTTACTACTAGTATATTAGTCCGCATCTCGTGCCGTCGTTAAAAAGTTAATATACAATTAAATATTCATGTCATAACTTATACTATAGGAAAAAATCAATCTAACTAAATAAACAAACTTTTCATGATTCTATCATTTTTGTGATTTTTGAAACATCCAATACAAAATTTATAGATGAAAAGAATTTGTAGTAAACATATAGATTAAATAATAATTTATTGAATATATGTTAACTTTAACCAACAAAAGAGAGAATAAAACAAAAGAAATAGTAGAAAAGGGAAAAAGAGAAGGATCATACCCGCTATTATATGGATCATAATTCTAAGCCTACCGAAGATATAATTCAAAAAATTTATCCTTCCCATTCAAAAGATGTAGGAGGTTATTTTTCAAACTATTATAAAGGTTGAGAGAGTTATGTGAAATTTATATATCTAATCATTCAGTTTTTATGTAATTAACGACAATAATAACAATAACAATATACCCAGTATTATCCCATACTGTAGGGTCTGAGGAGGATAATGTGTAGGCAGACCTTACTCCTACCTTGTGAGGATAGAGAAGTTGTTTCCAATAGACCCTCGGCTCGGGAAAGCATGAGCATCAAAATAATAAAAATATAGACAAGAAGGGACAGTACCAAAAAGTCATATAAAAGCAGAATAAAAACAACAAGACAATAAGGTGGTCAACAATGAAAGAAAACAATGATTAGTCATAAAAACCTACTACCAACAGAAAGCGAGATTGTGCGTCAATATTAATGTTATGAACACTCTAGACTACCTACTCTACTACCCTAATCCTCGACCTCTATACCTTCCTATCAAGGGTCATGTCCTCAGTCAACTGAAGATGCGCCATATCTTGCCTAATCACCTCTCCCACCTCTTCTTAGGCCTATCTCTACCTCTTCGTAGGACCTCCAATGTCAACCTCTCACACCTCCTCACCGGGGCATCTGAGCTCCTCTTCCTCATATGACCAAACCACCTAAGTCGCGCTTCTCGTATCTTGTCCTCAATAGGGACGATACCTGCATTGTCGCTAATAACCTCATTTTTAATCTTATCTAACCTAGTGTGTCTGCATATCCATCTCAACATCCTCATCTCTGCTACATTCATCTTCTGGACATGAGCGATCTTGATTGGCCAATACCCAGCCCCATAAAACATCATTGGTCTGACCACCACTCTGTAGAATTTACTCTTAAGTATCGGTGGTACTTTCTTGTCATACAAAACACCGGAAGTGAGTCTCTATTTCATTTATCCCGTCCCAATACGGTGTGTGATATCTTTATCAATCTCCCCATCCCCCTGAATAATAGATCCAAGGTACTTAAAACTCCCTCTTCTAGGGATGACCTGCGAGTCCAGCCTCACCTCTCCTTCCCCTCCTTAAGTCATGCCACTGAACTTACACTCCAAGTATTCGGTCTTGGTCCTGCTCAACTTGAAGCCTTTTGATTCTAGGGTCTGCCTCCATACCTCTAACTGTGCGTTCACACTCTCTTGCGTCTCGTCGATCAATATAATATCATCTGCAAATAGCATACACCAAGGCATCTCTCCTTAGATATGGCACGTCAGTAGGTTCATCACCAGAGCAACAAAAAAGGGCTGAGTGGCGACCCCCTGATGCAACCCCCATCATAACCGAAAAATGGTCTGAGTCCCCTCCCCTCACTCGGGTCTTTACTCCATCATATATGTCGTTAATCAACCTAACGTAGGAAACAAGTACAACTCTAGCCTCCAAACATCGCCACAAAACCTCCCTCGGAACTTTATCATACGCCTTTTCTATGCCAATGAACACTATATGCAAGTCATTCTTTCTCTCCCTATACTTCTCCATCAATCTCCTAACAAGGTGGATGGCTTCTGTAGTCGAACGCCCCAGCATAAACCCAAATTGGTTCTCGAAAATAGACACACTCCTGATCACCCTTAGCTCTACCACTCTCTCCTAGACTTTCATAGTATGGCTAAGCAGTTTGATACCCCGATAATTATTGCAATTTTGGATATCACCCTTATTCTTGTATACAGGAATCATCGTGCTCCACCTCCACTCTTCAGGCATCTTCTTCGTTCAAAAACTGACATTAAATAACCTAGTGAGCCACTCCAAGCCTGCCTTGCTCGCACTCTTACAAAACTCCATTGGGATTTCATCCGACCCGGTCGCTTTGCCTCTGCTCATCTTATGTATAGCCCCATCAACTTCATCAACTCTAATTCGCCTACAGTACCCAAAGTCACAGTGAATCCCAGAATGTTTCAAATCACCCAGTACAATGCTCTTGTCCCCCCCCCCCCCTCCTCGTTCAAGAAATTATGGAAGTAGGTTTGCCATCTCCAACGGATAAGCCCATCATCCAACAAAACTCTACTTTCTTTGTCCTTGATGCATTTCACTTGGTCCAAGTCACGCGCCTTGTTACTTGACTTTTCAAAGTACCTATTATATCCTTAGATTTTCAACTTTGTCTTTTATTTTTCACTTCTTTCAAGTCATAACATTTTTTCTTTTTAGTATCTATATAATAGACTTACCGATAAAACTACACAAATATTATTTCTAAGATGAAAAAATAAAAGAAAAGTGAGAAGTAGTAATTAACCATATAAGTTAATGACGCTCTATGAGGAAATAAATAAGCAACATAAAAAACAATTTATTAAGGCAGTCAAAATTCTAGAATTTATTTACACAAGTGAAAATAAGAGAATGGGAAATTTATAAACATATTTTATGCAAGTAATATAAAAAATAATTAATTAAAGTAAAGGAATATTTTATAAAAATATCCTTGAAAATTATCTTTTTATATAGGTAAAATACTCCGATTAAAACATAAAATATATAACAACAACAAAAAATTATATTGTTCAAAGTTGAGGAGAGGGAAATGGGAAGGGTTTAATTTTTAAAGTGAAGTTGGAGGGGTGCAAATACCCCTAACAAAATAATCCAAAAAAGAAGAAATTAGCCATTATAGAAAGACAAAAAAGTGAGAATACAA